GAGTTGAAACATGTTTTTATTTAATTTGCCACTCACAGGGGTAACAACACTAAGTAACAAACATATTACAAAAACCTTAAAAGCAGGTCCTATTATACTGTAAAAACTAAAACAATTTACTGTACAACATTCAGATTACATGAACATTAAAGGGGTATCAGCTTTTAAGAAAGTAACTAGAACAGATCAGCCATGATAGTCTGAAATATAAATTGTTACCATTGTGGAAAATACTTTTCAAAATAAAAGCAACTAGTAGGTATGGAGCCTGTAATTCCTTGTTTGAACTCATGACAGACTCTCTATCCATCCTCACTGCATTAATAAATGCACATCTGCTTCAACACATTAAAGAGACAGATGGGTGGCATACTCTTGCCAAGCCTTTTCATTTAGATCATCTGTAATATACATGTGTTGTGTCTTCATCTCTTCATGAAGTTGTCCAGGGAGGCTGCCGTCCTCTGAATGGAGTGGATGTTCCTCTTCACTCTGTCCTCTACAGTAGAGCTTGCAGCACTGTCCAGCTTCATGTTACTGCAAGAGGGAAAGGTGAGTGTTACTGGAGCTAAACATTTAAAAGGTGAATGAAAGGTGAAAACTAAAGAGACATCAGGAAGAATATATTTGTGGATTTAAGACATATTTATAATAATAGTAGTGGTGGTAATGTGTGTCACACCCTCTGATTATCTGTGTCAGAGTTGCTCAGAAACTTACTGAATGAAGCCAGCATAGCGGTCATGCTTGACATTTAGTTCTCGCTGCTTTTCCTGCTCATCTTGCTTCTTGTATCTCTTCACGTTATTCTCCCTGTCCTCATCCCTCCGCTTGGCCTCGTCCATCATCTCCCGCCTCTTGCGCTCCAGCTCATCTGAAGAGAGCTTCCTACAGCAGACAGGAAATAAACATGAGAAAATTACAGGAATCCATTCAGTGTGGGTGGTGATTAAGACAGTGCTCTGAAGATCATGCTTTCTCCGACTAACCCATAGAGTAAGCATCATAAAATTAAAAAGGGGAGTGACTTGAGACAGAAATGGTACAGCTACCCAACTGTTTCATGGTAAATTTACTTCCATTTCGAATATACCTGAGGAGAATAACTCAAAGCAGTTACTCTGCAAAATATGTATAAAGTGAGAGAGAGGGATATATACCGTGGAAGCACATGATAGTGGATTAAAGTTTGATACTGGAGTGAAACTCCAACATTGTATTTTACTCAGGAATGGGTGACTTATGTCATTATCAGCACATATTTTAACGATGGTTGACATACTTATAAGCAAGCAGGTAATGAATCCGAGTAAATTAGAATAATGTTAGAACTTGGACTATAGCCATCTTTTAATTACAAGTGCAACGTCTATACTTTCTGGAGCTCCTTACTTGGACACAGGGTGTCTCTGTCTCTGGTAACGCTGTCCTTGTTGGCTGGAAGCTTTGGGCTCAACCTTCGTGTCGCCTTTGTGTGAGGAAGAAGAGTTGAAGTGACTTTCTCGGTTGTTTCTGTGTGGCGACTGGGAGCGGCTGCTCCCACGGCACCCTGAGTGATTGGATGGAGCGGAGGACTGGTGATGTCTGCCAGCGGGGAGCTAAGAGGGGAGACATAAATTGTTAAGACTTAATGGTTCTGGTCCAGAGCAAGATTAATAATTGAAATTGAAAAATAGATAACATTGGTGTAATGAAATACTGCCTTGCTGCTTACTGACCTGTAGGCCATAGCCTGAATGATGATGGGAACGCTTTTTGGCATCTGCTGAAGATTCATCTCGGGAATGTGACCTAAAAATAGATAAAAGATAATAATGATCGGTGATATTTTTGCATTCTACGTGTGCTTTGCCGTTTGAGCACATATCTATAGAAATTATAATTATTTCATTAACGATCTCCTTACATACCTGTATTTTTTCTCATCTTCCTCAACTGAGCTTGAACTTGAATTCCTTCTCTTATACTTCTTCTCCTTTCTTCTCTCTTTGTCTCCTTTCTTCTCTTTTTTTCCCTTCTTCCTCTTCTTTTTCTTGTCAAGATTCTGGCGCAGCTGTGAAAGAAATAAAAAATACTTGACAATCTCCCCCTCCTGACACTGATTCAAACATGCATGCAGTTGTTTTTGATAATGAAGTTAGTGTAAACTTCGCTGAAAGATGCAAAGAAGGAAAATACAGGTAAATGTCAGACCAAGAGTTATTTAATTACGGTAAAATAACCAAAATCTGTAAGTCAAATGTCAAAACAAGAATCCACCACAAACCAATACATCAAAATAGAAATTTTACCATTTCTTTGATTTTCTTCATCTTCACTGGATTACTCAAAACTTCTCTCCTCTTTTCTTCCTCACGTTTCCTTCACAAAACCAACAAAACATAAATTAAACAATTGCAACGTGTGTCGTATTTTTAGAAAAAATTACAAAAGATAAGCTACATACTGACCTGATTTCAAATAGCGGATCTTCCCTGATCTTGGCAGCCAGGTCGAGGTTTGAGGCAGGAGTGGCGGGGTTGAAAATGGACCCAGGCAGGAGGCCAGTCTCAGCTGATGGACCGCTCTCGGGCTCCTCGTATTGGTCGGTGATCTGCTTGTCAATGGCACGTCCCAGAAGATACTCATCTCTGGAGACCTGACCAGCAGGGCCCTGGTACATCCAGTCCAGGCGGTCATCTTTCTTCCTGTCACCATAAAACGGGATATTTTGACTTAGACGCTACTTTTTTTGTCTTAAACCACAAAATAACTTTAATGATAATATCAGAGAACTAACTTGATGGAACCCGCTTGCTGTGCAAATCTTGTTATTTCTTCTCGAGCTCGTTCGTCTTTCAGCTCTTTCTGGAGCTCCTCGATCTTCTTGCATTCAGCCTCGTGTTTCTGTTCAGCTTTCCAAACGCGCTCAATATTTTTCATAGTCTGGGGATGCCAGCTCTTTTTCAAGTTCTGACAGAAGACAAGAGTGAGGACATTTAGTAGCTGTAAGTGTGAAAACCATCAGGTACAGGCTTTAATGTACAAGTAGGACTTGAAAGGGGTTAACATGATCATTCATGTAGACTGACTATAACAGACAAATACATACAATTAATAGTTATCTACCTGATCAAATATCATCTTCTGGTACATTAGGCGAGGAAATTATTTATTGCGGAACTGAATATTTCAACAGAATATATATATATATATATATATATATATATATATATATATATATATATATATAT